AGCAGCACTCTTCTTATAGAATAAGGATATTTTATTTCATTTAGCACAGGTTTCAAAGTTGGTTGAGCTAATCCAGAAAGAAACTGCTTTCCTTCCTGCATGTATATGCCTAACATAAGACGAAAGTAAGAATGTAAGCTTCTATTAGCAAAGGGAGGAATATCCTTTATCAAATACTCAGAGAGGATATTTAAGGAAGGTTAGCTTAGTCTCTGTGAAGTAATAACAAGACTGGATATATTAGTCATGAGCAAAATAAGAAAGGTCCAGTAGCACATAATGTCTTTTCTAACAAAAGAGGAGCAAGAAAAGGGCAGAATTGAGCTGGAGTCAGTAGGGGTTTTTTTAATGTCCAAATGAAGTTGAGTGACAGTTCTCTAGTATAGAAATTCAGTGGTCAGACTTCAATTTCTAAACTCTAAGAAATCGGAAGATTCATATCCTCACCCCAAACAGGTGGCGTTATTCCCTTCTCAGACCCTTGTGTGTTCTTTCATGTGTATTCATAGTTGGAAAAGGTGCATTTTAAAATCAAGATACAGAGAGAGATTACAAATATGAATTTTCTTTAACTGCAGTTTTGCTTATTGCAGACAGCACACAGAAACAGAAATATATTGAATATTTATAGAATAATATGGAATATTTATGTTTCCACTGTATTAACTGTCTCATAGCTATGAAAGTAGCAATTCAGAGGTTAGATTTCCAAGTGTATTTTAATCTTGGTGGCTTACAGTTCACAGGAAATTGTACCAAGATCTGATCTAAACCATGCAGTTGTCTTCCATAGTTTGGAAAGCAAAGATAAATCATTCAAGAGAAAATAAGAGTTTATTCATATTGGTTTGGATTTCATGACAGGAACAGCCTCTCTTATCCTGGAAAGCTCACCTAACCATCAGTAAGAATCATCCTCTTTTCCATAGGTGCTTGTTTGAAGCTGTTACATCAAGCCAGGTGAAACTAATATGAACACAGATCGTTAAGTCAAAAGATAATTGTGCTGTCCGTATTGAATGGACCCAGCAAAAGTCCATAAGGATAATACCTTTTTTTAATGTTTAACCTCTCTTGAAGAATGATCTGCCAGGATCAGTAAGATCTACTTGACTTGCAAAGTCAACACGAAGTGATAATGGATCCTCCTAAAGATAACATGTGCATGAATGTTAGCTCAAGCTGTTTTACAGGGTTGAAACTGCAAAACACAATACTGAACCGTGAATCAGATCTGTTCTTTTCCATTCGTTTTTTAAGCCATATGTGGAGAAGGGAAATACTACATCCTCTACATATTTATAGAAATTTTTCTACTATACACAGTGAAACCCACTGAAAAGCTTCCCAGACTACAATGAGACCAGGCTTACAGATGAATCAATTTCTCACTGACATTCTCTGATTGATTTTCAACTGTGTTATATTTTGTAAAGAAATGCTTGGTGAGGAAACACATTGTCTTGAGGGTCAGTGGACATTGAGTAGTAGATGAAGATTCATTAACATCATTCCTTAGAAAATTTTTTATTATAGCAATCAAGCAAAACCAAGAATTTGTTCTTCTCTGGGAAGTAACTTGCATGTAGGTTGTGGACAGCATTGCATATGTTTGGAGAAGCCCTGTGGAAGTGACTGTTCATGTATGCAGTTATTTGAAATTAATTGTTCTTCTAGGTCTTCCCTTCAGTCTTACCAGTGTGGAGTTTGTTAGAATGCTCTTCCTGGCAGTAAGGAAAAGATTTTGTTATTATGGTACTTTTCTTCTGATTTTTGTTTGTTCATTTGTTTGTTCAGGTTTTGGGTTTTTTTGTTTTGGATGTTTGGTTGATTGGTAGGTTTATCTTGTTTGTTTGTGTTTTTCCCAGTTGTTTACTTTAATAGTTGCAGAATTTTTGAAATTATGTGTAAATGACATCTGAAGAATACACATGCCTATAGTCTCATTTGAGACGTGATATACACTGATCACATACATTGCAGAAAATGGAGTTTCCATTGGTGCTGACAGTCCTTCAGCAAGATATTGGGACATTCTATTAGATTATCAAGTAACTTTTTAGTAAAGTCACTTTCTTTTTACTATTTAAAAAGCCATGCATGCTAGAGCCAAATGTAACTGAATAAAGTGAAGACATGGAAGTAGGTGCTAGCAAAAAAATTTGAAAGTTGAAAGTGATTATACATAGATTTGTCCATTTTAAAGAGGTTTGTGTTACATATCCTATTAATTGTTTTATAAAGTTTTCCATAAACTGAAAAGGCATGTGTTTTATAACCTAATTCTTACTGCCATGTGACTGGATTCTTAGGTGAGCTGTATTCTTGTAAGTATTTCTTTACCACTCTGAACAAAAAAAAAAAATAGTGCCTACATTATAAAATAGGAGGTATTAAAGAAGAAATGTAGTAAGGTATTTCTAGTGACTTTTGAGCTGCCCTGACTCAAGATAGCGTAATTAATAGAGTAAAATAAATGTTAACAAGCTTCTGACTTGACCAAAAGAACAGAATGTCCCTGATTTTCTTCAGAAAGGTTGATAAGTCCTTCTCCATATATATTAGAATTGTACATATGTGTACAGTCATGCTTAACTCCTTTGTACAGCATAAGTGAAACTCCATAGATTTAGTTGTTACAATCCTCAGCAGCTAAGAAAACTTGGTATGTGGCACAGTTACTTCAGGGAGCATTGTGACAGAAAGAAAAACTTCAATGATAGCTTATAAAGAGTTTTATAATAATTCTATCTGTTCTCTTTTCTGGTGTTCTCTACTTGAATAAAAGAAACTTTACCTATTTCCTAATAAAAGAAAAATGGGTAAGCTTATACGGTAATCTGAAATATCTGTAACAGGAGAGAGTGCAGATTAAGCAGTAGTTGAATTTAGCACTGGAGAAATGGAAACTTGAAAATTTTGAGACAGAAATAAAATTAGTTTTATGAATATTTAAAGTAGTCAGTTTTTTTCACTTATGTCTAATGAATGCTGTGATTTTTTATTTATATTTAAAGAATGAGTACAAAATGAAAAGTCAGTGAGAAAAGAAAGCAAGAACAGATATTCCTATCTGAGACAATAGATTAGCCTGTGGGTTTGTTTGTTACTTGGGGATTTAATGCAACTTTAATTCATTTACTTGTAGCACTCTTTTACAATGTTTTTGTTTGGCCAGACTTATTGTAGACTTCATGCTATCTGTGTAGTCCTGGTGATTTTAATGAAATTGCCAACAGGCATAAACTTGAAAATACATGTTAGAGAGCCTGGATTTACAGCCCTCTATGAATTTCATTTGTATAAATTGTCTTAAAACTTGTATATGTAAATTTTTCTGCATTCTGGGGCTGGGTGTATGCTCCTCATACACTGTACAGGCATACAGAGTGTATGGGGGCACAGTGCTCAGATGCACAGCTCTGCAGCATCCAGCCTGGACCTGGCTGTCATCCAGTCAGCTGCTGGTACACACAGAGGAAATGGTCTGCCCATTCTGCCGTACTTCTACCTGTCTGAAGTCAAGTGCATAGCCCACAAAATTAATTGTTAACTGAGAAACATGGCCAACCACACCGTGAAATGCTTTTCACCATTTTCAAAAGCAATATTGATAATTTAGGTAGCTTTGGTACGTGTTGGTTGTATAAGGATGGCAACCTAACACAAATAGTTAATAAGCAAGCACAATGTGAAGGAAGCAGGGACAACTTAACTGTCACTTTATTTGTACATGTTTCACTATGTCCCTTCAAAAACCCCAGTATTTGAAGTTAAATTGTTTATTGAATGACTTGCAGAGTATATTTTGGTGGTGGAATCTCCTGGTAATACTCTTCTAATTCCAATTAAAGGTGTTTAAAGGGAGAAAGAAAAAATCCATCTTGCAATAAAAGTTAGGATAGTAACACAAAAATGGACATAAGTTTTAGAAAGTTAGTGTAGTGATGTAGTGAATGCATTTAAAAAGTGTATTATCATCCAGAAGATAGGGATTTTTGGATAAACGTGTGTGTAAAAGAATTTGGAGGTGGTGTCCTCTCTAAATAATATAGTATGCATTGGGAAGGAGAGAGAGGCACTTAGAGCAGAAATGTTTCTTCTATTGCTGGAAAAAAGATTAACGGTTTAGTCTGACAACCTGCAAATCTGTGTAGTAGGTTCTTCAATAAATAAAAATAAGATATCAAATAAACAAATCCCAAATAAATACTTTTGCATTGATTTGGTTTCCTGGTGTCCAGTTGGAAAAATTTTGCCTGCAAATTTCTTTCATTCTGACTGCACATGGGTTTAATTTTGGTTTCAAAGTTATAAGAATAATGTGATATTGTTTACCTATTTATTACTGTAGAAAAGAAATCTGATTTGTGGTTCAGCTAGCTGTTTGTCTGTATTCAATAAAAATGTTGTTTTGAAAAAAATCAAGCAACAATTTGCCAGTAGGAGGTAAGAAGAAATCTGAAGCAAAAGCTGAGTTGTCAATGATTTGGCCTGTATTTAGGGATATGACCCCACAAGTTTTGCCACAAGTTGTCTGTTCTTATTGGAAAAGGGACTATTACTGTCTTGGGTACACTAATTACTATGAATGATAGCAAACAGAAATGTTAATGAACCACTAAAAATCCATCATTTACTTACAACTGTTAGAAAACCTGATAAATTCAAAGGATGAACTGAAATAAGACTAAGCTTTGTGGAATAGAGCAAGGATATAATTCTGCAAAGGTAATTGAAAAGGTGATTCAAAGATAATTAATTTTTATGACTGAAAATATTTTATTGAAGGAAATGTGTATGCAATTTATTGTGTTATTATTTCTAATTGTAGTGTGGACTTTAAACAAGGGCTGTCAAATACATTTAGGTCTATCTAACTGTGATGTAACTGATTGCTAGTGATTATCCTGTGAGTGGTTCCTGAAACAGGATTGTAGTATTGGGCCCTCTTTTTTATCTTCAGGTTCACATTTGCTCTTCTTACTCTCCACTAATAGGTAGCATAGATCAGTCAGTGTTAAAGGAATTACCTCCTGATCTCCTGGCAGAAATTGAATCCACCATGCCACTTTGTGAACGTGTGAAAATGAACAAGCGTAAACGTAGCACAGTTAATGAGAAACCAAAATATGCTGAAATCAGTTCTGATGAAGACAATGACACTGAAGAAGCTTTTGAATGTAAGTAGTACATAATTCTATTCCTTAACGTGAAAAAAACTAATATTTTGTTTTTACAAAAAGATACACATCTTTTTTAAGTTGGCTACACTAAAACATACAGTCCCAAATTTGCTGTCCTGACAACTGCCTGGCCAAGAAGCCTTGTTTCTTTTTTAAAAGAAGTATTGCTTCATTGCAAATTTTCATCCAAGATGAAAAGCAGTGACTTGTTAAATTTATTTTCCTGGTTACTTTACTGGAACCTGCTGCCTAGATTTTTTTTTTTAATTTTTTTTTTTCTTTCATAAAACATATCTAAGTATTCAGATTGAGGAAAATATCCTCTAAAGAAGTACAGAATTTGCATACAAGGGTACGCGGAGAGAAATTTCACTAAATAAATTCTTGCATTATTCTTAGTTCTGTTGATAAGAAAAGTGGAAGATCCCCCCTTGAATTTTAGTTACATAATAAATTGAGAATCCTACTGCACAGAAGTTTCTTAAAACATTTCTCTTGTCATATTCCTTGAAAAATGGAAGTTATTCTTGATGAATTCTCAAAATACCATTTGCTGCTTCTACTGTTCTTGAATTAACGGTTTTCACAGGAAGAGAGGAAGCTTCTCTTTAGAGTTTGGCTGTGCAATTGAATAAAGTACCTAAGGAAAAAACAATTTATTTGCCTCTAAGTTAAGAAGGCATTTCCTATTTTTTAATAGAAGTATGGCTGGTTAGTTTCTATGGTTGTACAGTTAACCAGCACTGGAAATAAACTGTTAGAATGAAGTTAATCAGTTCAGTCTGAGCTATGTAGCCATGCAGGGCTGCAGGAGAAACCTGTCAGCCTGAGAAGCAATCTTGCTTATAATGATGTTTTCCCCAAGTTTTGGACCTTTTTTTGTAGAAATCTCTTAATGAACTTTCATAAACTATAATATTTTGTGGTTTAGTATTTCTTAAGGTCCAAAAGAGAAAGATTTGTTTGCTCTGCTTCTTAGTATGTTTCAAGTTTTCATCCAATATAAACACTTTGGTTTTGCACGTGAAAATTATAACACTGTTACCTTTGATCTGTATCAAGCTGAAAAGAATGTCCTTCTGTTTGTTTGTTTTCCCTTTTAATTATAACTAAATAATGCTTCTCTGTGCATGAATGTGATGTCTGCAAGTCAATTGTTATCTGTCTAAATTTTGGCAAAGGAGTAATGATGACTTGCTTCATTCAGGAGTTCTATATTCTCTGTTTCCATATCATATCACCCTTATATGATGTTAATAATTTGGAACAGTGAATTTTAAAAAATAAATTTATGGAGCAAAGTTATTTAAGTTGGTTGAGAATGGAGAGAATTGTAAACACTTTCAAATATCTTAATCTATATAGTAGCCATAGTTCAGCCATAGAAATTCTCAAATACAAAGTAGAACAAGTTAAGGAAAACTTTCACAATAATGATATGCTTTGAGCAATTCTAATTTCATTATATCTGCTCAAGAGATCTGGCCATCATTCTAATCAATTCAGTGAATGCATGTGGTTTAAAAATAAATTACAGTATTTCTTAAAGAATACTGTAGAACTTTAAATTTAAAGCAAGACAAAACTATCAAAAGTGAAAGATCTATGGCAAGTACACAGAATAGATTTGTATTGTTACAAATACATGTTTCTTAATTATTCTGTTTGCTTTAAACTGAACTTTAAAAAAGTGATTAGTGTAGAAAAGGAGAAGTTTCTTTGAATAGTTCATTAAGAAGGGACATGCCATTAAACTAAATAATGAGAAATTAAAGATTGATGAAGTCATTCTCTTACAGTAATTACTAAATGTGATATTGCATAAATGTTTGGCAGAATTTGGAAGGAAATTGGGTGTTTATATTCCAAATAGTATTTATTTATGTTTAAAATCAATCCTAACTCTTGAAATGTTATTAATTCTTACTTTTTAGTCAATTTTATTGACTTCAAAGTAAATATTGTAGAGCAGTGATTGTGAATAGCTACTCCAATGTTCACGTAATTTGTCTTGTAGACCTAGCAGAACTGTAACCCATTCTGTTTTGTCATGCAGCATTGATAAACTGGTCAATCTAAAATTCTGCCAGAAAGCGATATTGGAAGTTACTTTTCTTGTGGAGATGTAACTGGGGTCAGAATTCATCCTGCAGAGCTTAGTGTTACTGATGATTTGTAAACTGGAGAAAAGGCCATCTGCCTTCACAAAACACTGTCTCACTCAGTTAAGATGTGTAAAAGCTTTCCCCGTAGAACTCTTACTTTCTTCTTCAGTACATTTACTCCAGTTATCATAGAATGGTTTGAGTTAGGTTTAGGAAGCAGCCTTAAAGATCAGCTAATCCCAACCTCCCTGACATGCGTGGGAATGCCCCCCAAGACCAGGTTGCTCAGGGCCCTGTCCAGCCTTGCCTTGAACATTTTCAGGCATTTGGCATCCATAGCTTCACTGCGTAACCTGCTCACTGCCTCACCACCCTCACATAAAGATTTTCTTTCTGATCTCTAATCTAAACCTGCTCTCTTGCAGTTTCAACTCATTACCCCTTGTCCTAGGACTCCATGTCCTTGTGAAAGAGTTTACACAGGCTAACCTCTAGAGCCTGTCACAATCGCTCCCCTTTAGATAGCATCCATTCCCTCAGTGCACCAGCTCTGTGTCATCTGCAGCTTGCTGAGGGTGCCCTCAATCTCACTGTCAGTGTCACCAAGGTGTTACAGTACTGGCCACAGCACCCGCCCCTGGGGGACACCACTTGTCACTGGTCTCCATTTGACCATAAAGCCATTGACCGCAACTCTTTGAGTGTGGCCATCCAGCCAGTTTCCTACCCACTGAGTGGTCCCAGATGGCTCACCGTTTCTTCAGTCGCAGTTAACTCTCTCAACCATTTCAGGCAGTGCTAAAATGTACCTCTGTCATCCTGAACATGACTGTACTTTTCCAGAAGTAGGTCTGATCCAGATGCAGTAAATCTTGAAACCTGAACTGAGTTATAATATTAAAGACTTGGACCACCTCTATTACATTTTTTGGAATTTGAAACCTCTAGGGTTCATTGCAAAACAGAAGTGTTCCCTTAGGGGTTATTTTTATTACTTCTGATCCTAGGTTGATTATTGACTATAACCTGGTATGTTTCTTACATTTCTTGATAAATGGCTTGTTGTAAGAACTTCTCAGTTCAGTTCCAGTTCTGTATAAATGCTTTGAGCCATTCTATTCAGAAACAACCTTATATACAGTCATGCAAAGGAGACTTTGGTAGATACACGCAATGTCAGGACTGTTATATGCAGGCCCAGAAGCAATAAACTGGCAATAAATATTGCCAGTCTGGGATGTAATATTTTGGAATTGTTTTGATCTTTGCAGTACAGTCTGTAGACAGTGTAAGACATCTCTTTAGTAGATCAGTTAGTTGATTATGTTAAAAAATGGAAAGTTGTCTGATTTCATGGAGGAAGCTACCTGCTCATCCATTTCCTTAAAACTGAGCACTCTGTCCAGTTCAAAATATGCAAGACTTTCTTTGAAAGTAACAGAGAACTGTCATTCTGCTCCCCCATTTTATTTCCACCCAATCTCTATGCAATATTTGCTCCAGCTTCTTCAACATTCACTTTTTGTGTGCTTTTTGGTCCTGCATGAAAATTAATTAGAATAATTATCTGTGGTAGAGGCTTGCTGTTTGTCCCGGAATTGTGACTCCAGCTTTCTCTCCTTTACACAAATTTCCTGCAGTATATACCAAGGCAAAATTTTAGTTGTCTTGGCAAAACAGAATATGTTTTAGGAAATAGATTACCAAGTCTCATTGGAACTCATTTGTGTGTTAGATGGACAAGGCAATCACTGAATTGGGATAAGGATACCCAGTAACAGTCACAATTTAGGGAACTGAGGAAATTATGTCCATATTCTCTTATAAAAGGATGAAACTTACTTTAATTTGTTCAGCTTTGCTTACTCAGCTTTTAAAAAGACAAATGTCCTGTAAATTCATATTTTTAAATGTTTTCTGGTATCTTTGCCAGTTTTGAGCACAGTTTTTCTGTAATTCAAAAGAAAACATTAAGATAAGTAATCCATAACAGAATTGTATCTGACAACTTAAGTGTTCTTTTGATTTAGAGAATAGCTATACAAGAGTGTTGGACTTAGAAATCATAAAATCATTTAGAACCTTTATGACCATCAAATCCAATCTACAACTATTGCAAAGTCCACCACTAGACCATGTCTCTGAGCCCTACATCCGCACATCTTTCCAATATTTTTAAATGGTCAATTTTGAACTATTAAAAATGTAAGTTTCATATTTAAAATGAAAATGCATTTATTTCTAGCTTCTCGTAAGAGACACAAAAAGGATAGAGATGAAGCTTGGGAGTATGAAGAACATGACAGGAGAAGTTCTGGTGACCATAGAAGAAGTGGTCATTACCATGAAGGAAGGAGGATTTCTGGTAGTGGCCGATACCGTAATCGCAGTCCCGATGACTCTGATATGGATGATTATTCTCCTCCTCCTAGCCTCAGCGAGGGTAACTGATCTCTATAAGGATTTAATTTTATTCCATAATACTAGTGCTTTTTTAATGGATATGTTAAATATTTTAAAGTGGACATCATTGCATGCAATATTAAGTACAAGTGTAAGAAATGTAAATAATCCTTTCTTGAAGTTTTAAGAAAGTGTTTGTTTTACTCCTTATTCTCTTAATTAGTGGCTAGAAAAATGAAGAAGAAAGAAAAACAAAAGAAGAGGAAAGCTTATGAACCTAAACTAACACCTGAAGGTAATTTTAGGAGCTTTATTTTCTATAGTTTGTATTTTCTCCTTTATATTTAAGATAATTGTTTATTAATTTCCCTTTTTTTTCACCAGAAATGATGGATTCTTCAACCTTCAAAAGGTTTACTGCTTCAATAGAGAATATTTTGGAAAATCTGGAAGACATGGATTTTACAGCTTTTGGTAATACATCAGAAATTTTCAAAATGCTTACCCGAGTTAGAAACCCGAGAAAAAACTGTATTGATATTTTTGAACTTCCTTCTTGGAGCCTTAATTTCATGTGATAACTTGCTAGGCCTACTGGATTTATATGGCTTCCACTTTGAGTGGTGCCCTTTACCTTTTCAATTTCACTTGCTGCTGCCTGAAGAAGATCCTTCTTCCTCCTCTCTGCAGAATCCAAAAGGGGCATAAATCATAATGAGTATCCTTTCCACTTCCCTTGGAGTGGAAAGGATACTTCTTTGGGATGTCATTAGGGTGTTACCTTCTGTCAAATATGTAAACAAGATGGTTCTCTTGCTAACAATGTCTGAGGCACGTAATTACACATCTGCTACTTGCAGATAAGATTCTTCAATTCAAACAGCAGAGTCCTGGTGAATTTATGGCTGAGACACCGAATCATTTACTTATTTGAGTTAAAAAACAGCCCCCTTAACTAAGTGTCTAAGGAAATAGTTCATGTTTGGTGGCTTTCTTTTGAAATGGATAATAGAATATTCATTACTTTTTTTCCTACCATCTTTGTCACAGGATTAAAACAAGAGGTGGGGCATAGTAAACAAGTTTCTGTAGTTTTTTAAAGTCATAGTGTATGCAGCCTTGAACTTAGAAGTGAAGTCACTGGATCTTTCTGTGTCTGGTAACATGATTTTTGTCTGAGGTTAAATACAATTAAGACTCAGATTATCTCAAGGTTCTTAATTTCATATGTGTTTTTCATCTGTTGGTCTTGCCCAGATTTGAACTTACAGGGCTACAGTTTAAGATTTGTTGTACTGAATTGAAAATTATGGCAGAAGTACTACAATAAATGGGGTTTGGTGTTTTAAAAATTTTTAGTTTGTGATTTTCAGAGGTGCTTGCCTCATGTTAGGCTCTCAAATGGTGTTTCAGAACCATGAAATGCCATTGGTATGGTAAGTCGTACTTAACATGTATTCGTTGTTTCAACACAAGCAAAAGGTGTTATTATCAGTCTTTGTTAGATTCTAATTATTTTGAACCATTAGATGCTGGCTGTTTGGACAATCGGCTCTTTTTTTTCAGTTAGCATTTTCTTATTGGGATAAAAAATAATGATTTTCTGGAAGTTTTATTAGAAATAAGATTGTTAATTTTTTTCCTTTTTTTTTTTTTTAAGGTGATGATGATGAGATTCCACAGGAATTGCTACTGGGCAAACATCAGCTTAGTGAGTTGGGTAGTGAATCTGCAAAAATCAAGGCAATGGGCATTATGGACAAGGTACCTCTTCATAATCTAACTTTTTTTGGAACATAAAATATTCATTAACATGCAAAAACTTACTTTTTCTGTAATGACATTCCACCCTCTTCAAAGGCACACAGACCAGAAGAACAGCTGAGCTTCTGCTCACTTAGCTGATGTGCTTAGGAAGTTGCAGCATCATAACTGCTACTCTTTCTGAAGCTGAGACATTTTTTTTGAAAGGTCCTCCTCTGTGTCCTGCTCTTCCTCAGTCAGCTAGAGGAACTTTAGTTGGTGCAAACTTGTTGATGTCTGACCTCTAGAAATAGTGTTCTTGATTTCCTTTTATCTTCCTGGAGCTCTTGGCTTTGGGCAGTCTTAGGTTAAACTCTTTTCATGCTCTTGACCACTTACATTTGTGTAGTGTCTGTGAAACCAGGTACTGTTATAATTACTCTGGGCTATTCCAAACTTCTGTAATCCAAACTTTAGGTATTCGTCCTGCATTTTCCTTCAATCTCCCTACCTTTCATTGTAGATTGTGGGTGATGTGATCATTTGTCTTCCCTGATTGTTCTCACTGTATACCTCTGTTGCATGTTTTTCACACATACATACATACATACATATGTACGTACATCCATATATGTAAATGTATAATAAATTTTGTTACTTCCAATGGTGAATAGTATCAGGATGAGAGAAACTAGCTCTCCTCAAGGTTAGCATATTGTTTAATCAGACTTGTACAGAAGATCAGTAAGTGAGTTCAGTTTACTTTTTTCAACATGATACTTCTTCGAAGTTAAGAATATTAATATTAATAATATTAAGAATACATTTCCCTTTTATTAAGAATACATTTCCCTTTTATTATCTTTCAAGTATCAGGGAATTAATTTCTGCTTGTTCATGCAGTATGGATTTTCTCCTAATAAAACTGTATATGGTCGGGTAGAATTTGTAGATCATACGAGGATTTGGTAGATTTCTATTTCCATAAGCAAATAACTACACAACATTAGTGACAGGCAATTTAAAAATTTATTTCTGTGGATTTTGATAGTTGAAAATGCAGTTTAATTGTAATCCTAGAATATATTTTGCCTGTTTCCATTATAGTATTTGCATTCTCCTTATGCCAAAGTGCTTATAGTTGAAACAATTCAGATTGTACAAGCTCTGTCCTTCATTCCTCAATGTTCTTTTCAGCAATTTGGAATCATTTCTATTCCTGCAGTTGTTTGACATGTTTCTTTATTTGTTTTAGCTCTCAACAGATAAAACAGTAAAAGTGCTGAATATTTTGGAGAAGAATATTCAAGATGGATCAAAGCTTTCTACTTTACTTAACCATGTGAGTTTGCAATTTCATAATTTCACACTATTGTGCAGAATAATTTTCTTCACTTGAGTCCTATTTAGTGATAGATTCAAATACTCTGTATGTGTGTGAAAGGGATTTCTGATATGACGTCTGTGATTAAAATTTGCCAAATTTTAATACTTGAAGCAAAACTCAATTATTGTGATTTTTCAGTACTAATCATGTTCTACTGTGGTAACGACAACTAACAGATGTATTGGAAGCAACGTATTTTCTTTTGTTTCATTTTAGATGTTATAGTCATCCTGAAATATTCATGGTAATTTGCTTTGTAGGATATTTCTTTGCTATGTGTCCATAAAACATCCTTGTAAAATGGAAGAGATACTGCAGTTTTCATATAAAGTCTATCTTTCTCCTGAGCATTAGGGAGGAAGTTTAAGGTTTAAGTGTTCTTACACTACAAAGTGACAATGTCGATGTAAATAAAATTAACAGGAAGTTTAGTATTTTAGGATGGGGTTTTTTTCCTAGTATACCTAAAACTGCTCAAAGATTTTGAGGTTTTATGAGGCTGATGTTCCACATTACACATTTCATGCATTTATATATACACTTTTTATTCAAAACAGTACTGCAGGAAGATTAGAATTGAGTTTTATAAAAAAAAAAACCCCTCATCTCTAGAAATAAGAGCGTAATAGTTTATATCAGACAGGAAGAATTTGAACTTGCACATGAAAACCAGACACATTATTGGTACCTAAATACTTTTATGTAGATAGTTTGTAGGTTTCAGAGTTTCGGTATATGTTTCTCAATGTCTTAAACAATGCAAAACATGCATAAAAAGGAAGTACTGGTTTCATTGTGATGAAGTCTTTATGCTAATGATTTTAAAGTGATATTTTTCTTTTAGTTTTTTGAAGTAAAACTCAAAATTATTAAGAAGTTAATTAAATTGTCCAGTCCTTGCAATTCAGAGACAAACTTGAATGAAAAAAAAAGAAACTTTTTTTTTTTAAAAATAAGTTTTAGATTTTCTTAAAATTATTCAAATAATTTTGGCAAAGAAAGTGTCTCCTAAGGGGTAAGGTTGCTACTTTCTCAGTGCAGTGAAAATATCTTACCTCCATGTCAGTATGTTTTTCAGAGGCAGAGATTGCTTTAACATTCATTTCATTTCTAAGATAATTAGGGGAAACACCTTTTTTTTCCTTTAAGGTGTCATTTATGTATGTAGCAAATTCCATAAAGCCGTTGTATCTGAGAAGTTTGCAGGGACCTCTTGATTTGCAGATTTTTGTTGATTCTCTAATTATGTATATCGTGTATATAATGCACTGTTCTGTTGGTTCAAATTCTCTCACCCCAAAGGCAAAAAGCTGTTACACTTTCACCAACCTCTGGTCTTTACAAGGAAAGCCAACAGTGTTGAAGTGTGACTTCATCTAGGTAGCAAAGACCCTTTTCTCTCTGGAGGCTCTGTCTGTACCAGAGAAGCTATGAGAAATTCTACCTAGCTTTGCTGTAATATTGTTATTACAATATTTAAGTAGTGCTGGATGGTCATACTTAACCTCATGTATGTTTGTTTTGGTACCTCATATGAACACAGTAATATGGAGACTCAGTATCCTATGGTCATCTAAATGGACATATTTGATAAGAAGTTGATAGTAGGTGGGTTGGTCTGTGAAGCAGAAAAAGTTGTGTACTTAGAGATTTCATGGACTTGCAACAGTCTTCTTGTATAAGAATTCCCTCTAGTGGCAGAAATCAAATGGATCAAAGCAGCAGCTGGTACCACGGAAGAAAACACCAGATGAAGGAATTAGGTTTTGCTTAATGTACATTGGTCTTAAATAGAGCATGCAACAGTCTTCCCTCATAGTGGTTCCCAATGAGACACAGAAACCTTCTTTGTATTCTAACAGAAGAATACAGAGTTCAGGACTATGAAGACCAGTAGCTTAGAGAGACATTACAAACTTGTTGCTAGTAAAACAAATATTACTTGATTTTCAAAATAAATTATTTTGGTATAGGAAATAGAGTATTTTATACATAAGTGTTATGTAAGCATATTAATGTAATGTTATTTTCTTTAACTTGGTGAGAATAAAAATTTGATTTCTTGTTCATACTCTCCTGTTTTTCTTGCCTGTTGCAGAATAATGACACTGAAGATGAGGAGAGATTATGGAGAGATCTTATTATGGAGAGAGTGACAAAATCTGCTGATGCTTGTCTTACTGCTATCAATATTATGACATCACCAAATATGCCTAAAGCTGTATATATTGAGGACGTAATAGAAAGAGTTATTCAGTACACAAAATTTCATTTGCAGAACACTCTCTATCCTCAGTATGATCCTGTGTATAGAGTGGATCCTCATGGTGGTTAGTATGCTAAGAAATCTTTCCATTATTAAAAGCTATAGAAAGTTAATCTACTATATCATGATGTAAATGACTTTCTGAGATAAGAATTTTTGTATGCATCTTTTATACTGATAGTTCTTTCTTATCACATACAATATCCTGAATTAATGCACTGTTAGTTGGAGGATGATGAAACTGAGTAAAAAAAACCAATGAAATGTGTCATCTGAAGAACTTAGTCATGTGGCACCTTGGTTTACTGTAATAATGTCGATGTAACCAAAGTATTAGACTAAAGTATTTAGAAGTTTGAAGTTCAACTTTTATGTGTAGTTATTATGTGTTGAAATAAGTGATTTCATAGTAATATGAAATACAGCTAGCCATGTATAGCTATGTATGTAGTGATGTGTTTCAAGGAAAACTATTTCGCTTCTAGCCTTTTGTTTTCATGTACATATCTACAGATGCATGGCTCCAATGTCAAGATGCTTTTTAAAAATCTCGGGTCCAGCATTTAGAATAATTATGAAAAATATTTATCATGTGAAATTCCTGCTTTCTAGCTGATGCTACTGAGTAGTTTTTCTAAATTGCTTTTGCAAAACGGCAGTCATGCAGTTGTTTTGGGGGCACTGTGAGGAATATCATTTTTCTAGTATTTGAAACACTGAAATTATTAATGAATACATATTTTATTTTCTAGGTGGTGTTTTAAGTTCAAAAGCAAAACGTGCCAAGTGTTCCACCCACAAGCAAAGAGTTATAGTGATGTTATATAACAAAGTTTGTGACATTGTCAGCAGTTTGTCAGAGTTGCTAGAGATACAGCTTCTCACTGATACAACTATTCTTCAGGTAGGTTTTTTCAGAATTCCTGTCCAAAAATGTTAGCTTTGCTTTTCCTAGAGTAAATGTGAAGTAGAGTTGTCCCAGCGACATGAAGTTTGAAATCAGTACAAGCTTTTGAATTCTTAACATCGGAGTGACTAGTTTGTTGCATAGTATGTCATTTGCATCTTCTCTTCTGCATTTAAGAAAAGTTTAACCTGCTTGAATTGAGGTACAGAGTGGTAGAATCATTTACACTGGAAAAGATCCTTAAGAACATCAAGAGTAAACTGCCAAGTGCACCACTAAAACCATGTCATTAAACATCCTATGTACATGTCTTTCAAATATCTATGGGGATGTTGGCTGAACTGCTTCCATGGGCACTTAAAATCCAATCTAAACCATCCCTCACACAACTCATGGCCCATTTTCTTTGTCTTGTCACTTTTTAGCTTGGAGAAGAGATAACCTCACCTGGCTACACACTCCTTTCAGGGTGTTGTAGAGGCCTTCTTTGGACTGTAAGGCCCTCTTCTCCACACTAAACAGCCTGATAGACCCTCAGCCACTCCTCATAAGACCTGTGCCTTAATTTAATAACTTTATTTGCAAATAATATGAAGTAATTGTTGAATGCCTTACCTGCTGAATGAATAACTGACGTGTGAAACTGCCTAAGTACCAGTTTGTTAGTCCTATATAATTAAAATAACTTCTATCCATTGGTAGGTGTCATCGATGGGAATAACACCTTTCTTTGTAGAAAATGTCAGTGAACTACAGCTATGTGCCATCAAATTAGTGACTGCAGTAAGTACTTTCTAATTTGTGGGCTCTTGTGCCTGTCCTGCTGAGATTTCTTAGGGCATTTACATAGGCTGTATTTTCTCTCTGGTAGGTAATTGGAGTGTAGAATTAATGTTATTCTTGCATGTTTTTACAGTTTGATATCATAATATGGAAATAGTGTTGTATCTATCTGAGCTGCCCCGGTGTGCAGAGTATAAAAAGAAATTGCCTACTTCAAGCCAGAAGCTTCTTAATTTTGATTGTCAGTTAAAGTGTAAACACAAACTCCTTCCTCTTACCTGTCCCTTTTTTATTTTAAGAAATCCCTTTTAAAAAAAAAAAAAATAAATAATCCTAGCTATGTGGTTTTCATTATTTTCTATGTTCAGATTTTAACTTAGGCAATAAGTCATAGAACTAGCATGGTATTTCTGTATAATAGAACAAATTATTTTCCTCAGAAGAGGTGAGTATCTGAAAAAAATCACAGGATAGGTAAAATATTATTTTAGGAAAAATGTAGTGGAACACAAATGTCCTTGTTCAAGTGGGAGATTTTAATCATTGTAAGAGTTACATACTTCAGTATTCTGCCCAAACAAAAGGGGAGGCAAAATAAACAGTTCTGATTCTGTAAATTGAAAGAACATATCATGTCAGGCATTAACATTAAAGCCTGGCATATGAAGTAAAACTGTTTTCTCAAATGTACTCTGTAACATACATATGTTCACGTAAATTGTGTTACAACAGAGTTTTCCTTTGTATTGAGAGAAATAAATACTAAGTCCAAAAACTTAGTATTATGCTGTTTGGCTTTCCTATATAGTGGTTATACCACTGACAAAAATATTTTAAATACAAAGTATTTTCAAGACCTGTTACACATTTATGCAATACAAAGATTTAAAAAAATCTATTTGGAAAAGCTTTTATATATTTTTTAAAGAAATGCTTGCATTGAGAAAGCAACTCATTAACAATAAGGTGAATTGTAATTTATTGAAGAGTTATGTGAAGTGTATGCTGTCATATAAGTATTTTCAATATATTTAAAAGGCTATATTTTATATAACAATAAATCTTTGTCTAATAATCCTGTAACTATTAAATAGGTGTTCTCCCGGTATGAAAAACACAGACAGCTAATATTAGAAGAGATTTTCACTTCCCTTGCACGACTACCAACTAGCAAGAGGAGTTTGAGAAACTTCAGGTAACTTCTGATGTAAATAATAACTTGTAGGCTATAGCATTTATAGTTTTGTAAATCTAAGATTTTTGCAGATTGAAATTTCAAAACAAATTGTTTGACAAATGTCTTGTAATAATTGCTCGGTTTTATGCTATCACTTTAGTGCCTACTTACAAAAATAATTGAAACATTCTTTTTCTCACTAAGAATGTGCATGGAGGATTATTTTTTGTGGGTCAATTCTTTAATTCTGTTTGTATGGAGTTACATAATTTCTTCATTGCTAAATCTTTGTAGGAAAATTTTGGCTGAATTGCTTTGAGGACGCACTCAGAGGACACACTCTTTTCAGGAAGGGAATCAGTTTCATATCCATATCATCTCATACGTCAGGGTTTACCACCTTTTGATGTTAAGTATGACAATAAGGTGGTGTTGGTGTGTGTGTGGGCAGTAAACTCATACTATTTCTGAGGTTACATCAGGGAGAAACATAGTCTTCTTACCAGCTTAAGACAATTGCCTCCTGAAGTTTGTAGTATGCAGTGCTGCTGCAGATTATTGTAAATTTCATATACATTTCATATGCATTAAATACTACAGAAAAATTATTACAGCAACAGTTTGGTGTGTTGTCTCAGAGCAAACATGGTATTATACATAATAAGCTTATTATTAAGTATTTTAGCAGGTAGATGTTTGTTTTGTTAAATATTCCTGTAGCTGTTTCAGCCAGTGAACTGTGCGCTGTTTCAGTTGACCTCTTCTGTGCAAGAACAATACTTACTGGTTTTGTTAAGTCAAATGTTACACTGCATAAAAAGAAGCAAATTAATAGATGAATGTCTAGAATGTGGATTGCTAGCTGTGAAATATCTATCTTTCAAATATTTTTTGAAAGATAGTACTTAGGAGGAAAAAATTTTCTTGTGTTTTTTCCTTTTTGTTTACTTTTATTGTTAAAACTGTCTTTTGTTATTAACAGGTTAAACAGCAGTGACACTGATGGAGAACCTATGTACATTCAGATGGTAACAGCACTAGTTCTGCAACTTATTCAGTGTGTGGTGCACTTACCATCAGCAGAAAAAGATTCTAATTCAGAGGAGGAATCAAACAAGAAAGTAAGACATTTTTAAAAGCCTTTTTTATATGTGTGTGCAGAAATTACTTACGTGTGTTCGTAGGTATACTACATTACTACAGTGCTGTAGTAATCAAGCATTGTAATTTTAGGTCTGCTGTAATTTTTTGATGCATAAGAAATGCTGATCTGGAAATCATAGATCTATGCTGAGATAATAGACAAATGCATCTTGTTATTTTTAGGTGGATCAAGATGTGCTTATTACTAACTCATATGAAACAGCCATGAGGACAGCACAAAATTTCCTTTCTATTTTTCTTAAGAAGTAAGTACTGCTGCATTCTTTAGTTTATTGATAGAGCCAGCTCCAAATGAGTACTTTGAAACCTGACAACTGAACAGTGATAAATACCTATTCATAATGTTATTTATAATAATATACTTTAGAAATGCCTGAGAGCCTCTTGCCTAGACAAAAATGTTTATAGAAGAGAAATTCTGCAGTGTTCTTCATACATTTAAGAAGCTGTCTCACAGTTCATGTAGGATTCCTTTATTATGCATCTCTAACTTACCTGAAGTCTGGAAGAGAAGGCTGAGCAAATTTTTAAGTGGTGAAATCATGCTGATTTGGTCATCAGATATAAAAAGCCTAAGAATTGCTTTCACTGAGCTAAAGTTAAGAATGCCAATAGCTCAAAAAGGAATAAAAAATATACCTGAATTAACTATAGGATTTCAAAGAACAAGTCTTTAGGTTTCTATTGTATTACACTTTTTCACTTAAAGCTGACAAGCTATTTAATAAGCCGTCTAGCAATTGCATGCTTCTGATGTTAAACTTAGGGATGATGTGCAGAAGTCAAAAAGTATCAGGTGTGTTAAGTTTTGGTTTTGGTTTGGTTTGTTGGTTGTTTGGCTGGTGTTCTTTTAGCACTGATTGTAACATTTGTGAAGCATAATACTGAGATGTGCTATCATTGTCAGATAAACCAAACTTAAAGAATATAAACATACCAACTCTTAAATATCCTACTCTAGCTTCCTTTTTATAATTCTACCTACTTGTCTATCCAAGTTAATACAGACTTAATAAAGCTAAAAATAAAAATCTTAGCAACAAAATTCTGCTGTCATGGATTATATGATTTATTTCCAGGACAATTTGGAAGGATAACTGTTTAAGCTATCTCTCTACAAATGAATAAAACAAATTTTCTGCTAGTATTTCAGATTTGGTTTTTTTGGAATTGCGTAAAACTGTTTTTTCTGATTAAACATAGAATTACTTCTGTTTATAGCAGAATAAAAAACTTTACATGGCTGTTAAATTCGCTTACTAAAAGGATTTTCTTGTTAATAGGTGTGGCAGTAAACAAGGGGAGGAAGACTACAGGCCACTGTTTGAGAACTTTATTCAAGATCTTCTTTCCACAGTCAATAAACCAGAATGGCCAGCTGCAGAGTTGCTACTTAGCTTACTAGGAAGGCTATTGGTAAGGGATTCTTGTTTTTAACTATAGAACTTCATTTCTTATTACAATGAAGACTTGTTTATTTATGCTAAATAAACACTACTACTATAGGAATGCTTTCTGATTGTTGACACACATGTAGCATATAAGGATGTCTTTGCATATAACACTACTATGGATACATAAGTAATAGAATTTTGGTTAGAGGATCAATCATATGGAACTTGTTAAAAATCCTATGTATAGTTTCTCTTGGAGGTCCAGTTTCACTATTTGATTACATTTTCAGCATTAAAAAGTGTCATTTCATAGCATCTTATAAGTGCATATATTTATTTGGAGTAAAGTCAGCCTAACAGCTGTAGTTATACATATTAAGTATCTCCTCTGGACTATTCCCTTAGCACAGAACCAGAAAACAACTCAGTGGTTTGGTTTTTTACACTACAGGAAATGCTTATGGCATTTTACAGAATCAGAATGCTTGTGTTAGTGTTTTTTTGAGTGTTGCTCTTCAGTATTATTAATGTAATTACTTACAGTAATTTGAGCTGCTTCTTGAAAAAGTATTGTATGGTCGTTCTTGGTAAAATGTATCTATTTATGTGAATAATGAGGAGGTAGCATTATGGTGCTTAAAATCTCTGCTCTTGGAGATCTGCTGTGCTAGTTGTCCAGTTCGTGTAATGAAAATATATATTTAAAAAAACTGACAGACATATTTGTAAAGAGAGAGACCAAATAAAAAAGAAATATTTATATAAAGTAGGTAATGTATGTGTGATGTAACAGTAAATTATATAATTTTATGCAATATGGAAGTTAGGTGGAAATTTTAAAAAGGTAAAGCAATCTTTTGTGAGAAGAATCTCTGTGGCATAAATAAATATTTTTAAATGTCTATTCTGCTTTTCTTAGGTTCACCAGTTCAGTAACAAATCAACAGAAATGGCATTAAGAGTTGCATCTCTTGACTATCTTGGAACTGTAGCGGCAAGACTGAGGAAAGATGCAGTCACTAGCAAAATGGATCAAGGATCTTTAGCCAGAATCCTCAAACAGGTGTGTGAGACATCCACAGCAGCCAGATGGAGATCTAGCCATTCAAATGCTTGAAATTTTTAAATATACTTGAAAGCTTGACATTATGGAGAATCAGCCTTAATGCACTATTTAGATTTCTGAATCAAATATACAGTTTATAAGTACTGCATTTGTTAACTCATGTCTTCATTGCACCATTTCTGTAGAGATCCTATAAATTAATTAATTCTAGTGGTTAGTCTGTTTTCTTGTGACAATACTGAGGAAATAATGGAGAAACAGTTAGATTCTATCTTAAGAGGCCTTAAAAATACGTATTTGCTATTGCAAAGTGGAACCTGAGCTTCTGGCACTCAAATACATACTTTAGAGAGTTAACCTATTAGTCCTGCAGGGTTAGTTTTTACATGGTATAATTTGAGGTTTTTGGGGTGTTTTGGTGTTTTTTTCCGGAACTTGCATATGTGTCTGTAGTGGGTTGATGCTGGCCAGATGCCAGGCCCTCACTCAAGCTGCTGTGGCTCCTCTCTGCAGCTGCACAGAGGAGACAAAATGTAAGGAAGGGTCCATGGGTTGAGATAAGCACCAGGACAGATCACTCACCAAATACCATCACAGGCAAAACAGGCTCAACTTACAGATATGAAGTGAATTTACTACTAACAAAATCAGGGTAGGATGTTTGCCCAGAGCTTCGATATTTATTTGACACAGGTAAGCTGTGACTGGAAGTCTTAGTGTAGTGAGACACAGCTGGATTCTGATTCCAAACACTTTCACAGCCATAAACTATTATCTGTTCATTGTTGAGCAGAGGTTTTACAGGCCATGATAACACCATGTGCTTTCATATTCTGTGATAATGGAAAGAGTGATTTGGTTTCTTTTTCTTGCATGTGTATTGTATGTTATAATGTGCACACATTATTTTATTTATTCATGTGTGGTTATGGCAAAATCACTGTATGCATACAGTAAGAGGGTCATTACAAAGTGTTGAAATAATTTTCACAGCTTCTATAAGATGCTTATTCCTTTGGTAAGATTAACTCATGAAATTTAGCTTAATTTGATTTTAAAGTAAAAGCTGGATTGGCCAGTTGGTTGCAGTGTGCATTGCTGTCACTTTGGAAGCTGCTGTTTGACCAGTGTAGTTTCTTGCTTTTTCTGGGAGAAGGGCACTAACACTGGCACAGTGACATGTTTGAAATTCAGTACTAGTTTAGGTTGGACTACTTAAATTGATCTGCATATAGAGCCATTCTTAGAGTGCCCTTGTCCAACTTTGCTGTTAAAAAAACTATGGTGAAAGCCACAGCTGAATGACAAAAGTAGAATTTAAATTTAAGAACCTTATAACCCATTTTAGAGAAGTAGCAAATCATGGTAAATATCCATGTTCAGTTTTCAGTGCCATGAAACATCACTTACATGGACCTTTGTATTCTCTCAGAAGATAAACTCAGCTTTTAGTTATTATTATTTAGTAATATTATTTGTATGTTATTGTGCTGCATTTTTGCTCTTGTTTATTCCCTTCCCAAAACAATTGAATCTTTTTTTTTTTTTTGTCTCTTCTAGATTCTGCGTGTGCTTGGTGAAAATGCAATTGCTGTTCGAACAAAAGCCATGAAGTGTTTGTCTGAGGTTGTCGCTGTAGACCCCAGCATTCTAGCCAGGGTAAAAAAGAAAATATCTACCATGCACATATCACCCTTAAAATAAATCTTTATTTCTTATTCTGAATCTTTGTTTCATCTGTTCTTTTTAGCTCGATATGCAACGAGGAGTTCATGGGCGGCTAATGGATAACTCCACTAGTGTACGAGAAGCAGCTGTGGAGCTCCTTGGCCGATTTGTGCTCTGTCGTCCTCAGCTTGCTGAGCAGTATTATGACATGCTGATTGAAAGAATATTGGTACGGTGACTTGTGGTATTTATGGTAAAATAAGTGGCATTGGAAAATTTCCTTTTAACTGAGCTTGTTTAATAAACTGGAATTGTTTGAATGGTGAGCCATCATGCTTTTAGGGACAGCCTTGTAAAATGCACCACTTGCTTCTAGGGAGGCTTTATTATGTTGAAAGGTGTACTTCTACAGAAAGTCATACAGCATCAGGACCAAGGCTGTATTCATTTTGATTCCATTATTAGTGCTCAAATTAGCTGTGTCATGGCTTAAGCGCCCAAAGGGAAGTTTAGCACATACCATGTAGCTGCTCACTCGACCCCTGCATCTCTTATCTCTTATCCCTGGAACGAGCTAGGAGGATTGCAGTAAAATTTACATGTTGAGATAAGAATATTTAATAATTGAAAATAAAGTAAAATACAAAAAAAAAAAAAATTATAAATAATGATAATAAAAAGGAAACAAACCATTGATGCACAAAGCAGTTGCTCACCCTCTGCTGACCGATGCCAGAGCCCTGTTCCCAAACCTAGACTGGCTGTGCATTCTAATAAGTCCCCCTTGTTTATATACCAAGCATGACATTTGGTGGTGTGGAGTGTCCCTTTGGCTAGTTCAGGTCACCTGTTCTGGTATGCTCCCTCCCAGTTCCTTTTGCCTACCTCCTCATTGGCACAACATGAGACAAGGAGGGAAAAAAAAGTCCTTGACTTGGGTAAACACAACTTAGCCAAAACCAAAACATCAGTGTGTTACCAACACCATTCTCATTCTGAATCCAAAACACAGCACTGTAACAGCTACTGAGAAGAAATTAACTCTACCTTAGCTTTAACTAGGACAATGTGAAATAAGGAATTTTGCTGCATATTTGAATTCTGAAATATGGATCATTGAGGGCAACTTTTTTATGCTATTTTTAGTGTTTTGAAAGGTTTACTAGTTTTTTTACAAAAAAGTGGTTTTATTGTCTAGGTGTTCAATGTTAATTTAACTGTCGGATAATACTGGCTTATAGTATCCATGTCACTACACATTTGCTAGTTACATGATAAAACAAGTTTGTGAAGGCTTTTGGAGATAAGTAAGTCATGTGCATACAATACTACATAAAGCAGTTAAACCTGACATTCAGAGTCAACAGATTTTGAGTAAGGTGATATGATGTGAAACTCCTCATCTATCTCCTTAGATGAAGCCTAGTAAAATGGAAACAACTGCCTGCATGTATCTTATCCATAAGCTTTATCCAAAGGTTTAAAGTATTACTATCCAATCTATAGGAAATCTTGTGTGTTCCAATAAAGTAGCTAAAGCATCATCACATCTGGCTTGAAAATTCTTGAGTAAATAAGTGGATTGCAACATCATGAGCTCTTAGATGGGAGGGTATAGATGGAGAAAGTGTTTCACCATTCTGGGAACTCAGCCAAAACCTTTAGAAAAAGTTAAGCTGAGCTTTTGTATAAATGCATTCCAGAAGATTTTAGTTGCCTTTTCTAAATAAATTTTGGAAGTCAAATTGGATGATCTTCAAATATTAATTCATATAAAACATAAATTAATGTTTCCGATTTGTTTTCAAGAGTGTAATTCTTTTCACAGGATACTGGTATCAGTGTCAGAAAAAGAGTCATAAAAATACTTAGGGATATCTGCATTGAACAACCAACCTTTCCCAAAATTACAGAAATGTGTGTGAAAATGATTCGGAGAGTCAATGATGAAGAAGGCATTAAGGTAGAATGAAACATATCCTTCAGAATTTTAATTATTGTGACTGTAGTGTTTCCCTGTTTTGACAAAATTAAAAGAAGTATTTCATTTCTCCTTTGTAATATTTATGAATTATGAATTTTTAAGAGCTGATATTTTAGCTTTCTGTAATTCTCTCTGACTTACTTCTCTTTCCTTTCTATCCTCTGTTTTCTGTAACTTCTTGTTGACAGTCAAAATATTTTAAATTTTTTCCAGAGGCTTTTTTTCTTCTTGCAAGTATTTTCTCTGGTGCTTCTCTTTTCTAGGAAGTGACATTGCCATTTAAAACTTTGATTTCTGCAAATCAATAAATTTTAAGTAAAAAATAACAACTTTACATTAATATATTCTATGTGTAATTATTGAAGTTATAAAGTGTTAATCTGTGCTGATGTTCAGTGAGGCAGTTATTCCCCCTGTAATGTTGCTTATGTGCTCATACTCTACTCTTTGTGCAGTGTATATTTGCAGAAGGGCACAAACCTAATATAATGTGTTAAATCATAAAGCTGACAATGATTAATTTGTTTAATTTGGCAAAATAATTTTAAAATTGTTGCGTAATTAGGGACACAGCTGTTGTAATTTTGTATCACACTTTCAGTAAAATTTAAAAATTTTAAAGCTGCAGCAGATATTTTTACCTCTTGAGGTACGTTAATGTAAAGTGGCTTTCTGAGAAGACTCTTGATCAACAAGCAGATGACAGATAGAGCCAAGGTGCTGCTGGAAAGGGAGGATGACCATGTTCTTTCCCCTCTTACCTCTTACCTTTCTAACAGTAAGAAAAAAGGAGGCATAAACGTCAATGTGTTTTTAACAGTTCCATGAAAGAGAAGTAATTTTGGAATAGTTTTTATTCACTTGCATTCTATTCTATATTGTCCTCCATTCAAAAACATTGGAAGGTAACATACTTCCTATATTTGAGTGTAGAGGCTTGGCTGCTTTCTCTCTCTCCCACTTGTCACAGTTGTTTCGTAAACTAAAGGAACCTACCAATGCTGCAGTTCTGCTGTAGGGATTGTTTGTTCAGTTGTCAGCTCCTCAGCTGTGTTTTTCTGAGGAATACCAATTAATGCAGGAAGGCGGTAACTTTATTCTCTGTAGCATCAGTTCCCATTGTTTCATTTTGCTTAAGTTTGATATGAGATCAGTGTAAGTTCTGCAGTAGTAAATCTGGGTCTGTCTCAGGTAACATTTCCTACTACAGTCTCATTTGAGTTGCATAATGAAAAGGCACAGATCATCAGCATATCTGTTCTATGGATGTATTAGAAATAATACTAATCTAAGTTTATTTATTTCTGCTAATATTTTATTTTCCCTCAGAAATTAGTAAATGAGACATTCCAAAAACTCTGGTTTACTCCAACTCCACACCATGACAAAGAAGCAATGACAAGGAAAATACTAAACATCACTGATGTGGTATGTTAAACAATTTGAGTTGTGTGCAAAATTACATTTTGATTTTAGTATCTTAGAAACATTATCTGTATTTTTTTGAGCACAATAATATGTCAGATGGTTTCCCTTTTTATATTTCCTGGCATAAAATGTACGCCAAAAATATTCATGTGATTGAGCAGGCAATAGGAAATCTTAAATGCTCACTAATCTGCTGGCAATAATAATTGTGACCACACTATATTCAGATTCTATTAAGTACTTGTTCAGTTAAAACACAACCAATTTCTATCGTATGTAACATTCTACAGGAATTGCTACTAGCATATAGTTAAACCTGCCTAAGAACTTGTCTCTTAAAAGAAAATTTTCCTCAAACAATTGATAACCTTTATTTTGCAAAGTTAATAAGCTGTTTTAATAAATATAGGGTAATGTTTTTACTCAGAGTAAACTGTTGTCTGCATAATTGTATCTTACTATTTAGGAGCAGCAAATTAAATAGCATATCTCCAAAATAAAAATGTTTTAATTGGTAGTGAAAATACATTGCATAAAACCACTGTACTGAAAAGATGTTTTAATATAAATTATTCAAAGATCTAAATTTCAAATTTAAAAACTGACTTGATTACTTACAATTGTAGGTTTAAACCCTATTTTGCTTTACAGTTTCTTTAAAAGTTGTAGTCTAGTCTGCATTTTTCCTGTCTGAGAGGTCAGTTAATTTGACTTCTGTTTAATTCTCAGTTCTCCTGCAAGTTCTAATTTGAACCACCTGTGTGCTGTTCCTGATATGTGATACCAGTGAAGGCTTGTTCTGTTTATATATAAACATGTGTGTGTATATATATATATATATTTATATATATATATATATGTATATACCTAAATAAATATGTGTGTGTGCGTGTACTTTTCTCTGGTGCCCAGTGACAGGACACAAGGGAATGACCTGAAGTTGCATCAGGGGAGGTTTAGGTTGGGTAAAAGCAAAAGGTTTTAAGGTTTTTCACACAGAGGGTGGTTGGCCCTGGAACAGGCTCCCCAGGAAAGTGGTCACAGTGCCAAGCTTAACAGAGTTTAAGAAGATTTGGACAATGCTCTGTGACCCTTGGGTTGTCCTGTGCATGGCCCGAGGTGGGACTTGATGAACCCTGTGGATCCCTTCCAACTCAAGAGATCTGGTGGTTCTATGATACACCTGGATGTCTATTTTCAAAGTGTCAGGATTATATTTCTACATAAATTCGTGCAAACTTTTCTACAAAATGGGAGCTTATCTTGCAGTAGGGACAGCAATCTCCAGTAAAGCATGTACGCTTTGTGTTGTATGAAATAAAAATTCTAGTCACCAAAATGGTGGGAGCTATTTTTCAAATACAGAAGACAATTTCTGGTCTCCATTGTTCTTATTGCATATAGAAATGTATGCTTGTTTGCTGGTCTTTTGAGATGACATCTGTGTTGAAATAATTTTTCCTCAGATGCCTTGTTTATTAACTAGTTTATTCTCAAAAATACTTATAGGTTGCAGCTTGTAGAGATACAGGGTATGACTGGTTTGAACAGCTTCTTCAAAATGTAAGTAATGAATTTTGAATATCGAGCACATTCTTAAATATGAAGAATCTTTATCAGGTGATATTATTTAAAATTCAGCTAAAATCCTTTGAATTTTTTTAATGATACTGTAACAATTGTTGAAATAACTTCATTGCAAAAAGTTACTGTTCTGGAATTCCTGTTAAAAGTTGATTGTAATAAATCATTGTTCTTAAGTGATGAAATTTAATGTACTGTGTAATAATAAAACTTCTCTAATCTTCACTAGTTAACCACAATCATAGAACTGTTTTTAAAATAGCTGGTTCAAACTTTCAGATCACTAAAACCAAAACTATCATGGCAAATTGTATTTGCATTAGTATGTTTTATATTTGTAATAAGAATTATAGGCTGGGCTAATGTAACATTTACAGGTAGGAGTATAAAAACTGGTGATGTCTCTGATGCTTCTTTGCTTCTTTTTTCAAGTCTTTTGTAGTCACATATAAATGTTAACACAGTATGTTCCTATTTCTAATAAGAACATTCTGTTTTGATCTTTAAAGAGATGCAGTGAAAGAGACACTCAAACAGTGTTTAGGCCATATGTTTTCAATTGCTTAAACAGTACTTGGTCTTACTGTCCTTTTTGTGTTTTCTAATCTTTTGCAGATTCTGACAATAAAGGTGTGAATTCCGGTCGCTTGGTTGCTTGCATAACCACTTTGTTCTTATTCAGCAAAATCAGGCCTCAGCTAATGGTCAAACATGCCATGACCATGCAGCCATACCTGACCACTAAATGTAGTGTAAGTAGAGACAATCAGTCTTTTCCCTTGATAATTGAGCATGAAAATGAACATCTGTCTTGTATACTTACGAAATTTAAGATAGGAAAAAAAAATTTAAATTGTTGAGTTTTTTCATGAGCATCATAGCTTTGGAAATTACTAGATCCTTTTGAAGATCCCTATAGCTTTTAAGATGTTCTCCCTCGTGTTCTACCTTCATATTTTGCAGCCAAATGAAACTGAAACCTGTGCTGCCTCTTTCCCAGTTTTTCTTCCTTCAGGAAATAGTTTCTTAGAATTGCTTTAGTTTACAGTCACAGTCTTAAAAGTAGTTAATGTTTAACATATGAATCTTAAGACTTAAGGATAAGGTTCCATAGGATAGAGTGATCTGATATATAGCAAATATATGAGAAGAAAAAAATCTTACTTCATCCTTTTCTAGACTTCATTTCTCATTCCTCTAGCTCTAGTGCTCTTGTATTCCCCTGTAAGACATTGTAGAGAGCTCTAACACTGAAACCCTCCCCCAGTCAGGTCTCTGAATCTTTGCAGTGGTTTCTGCCATTTTGATCTGGTCCCCTGACTGGTTAAAAGGAACGGGCAAGATCATGCACCCATTGCTCAAGGGTGATGAGCGTGGGTGGGTGGCAGCAGTGCCTTTCAATAGGTGAGCTGCCCAGGGCATGCTTAAGGGGTAAATGTTACCAACTTAGATTGTAGATACAGCCTGGCATTTTGCAGGCATTTTCCATGTTCTCTAGGCACATTTACAACAGGCTCTTAGAGCTGCTTCTGAACAAACAGTATAGGAAAGACTTACCTAAATATTTACTTGTGGCTTATTTAGTGGATTGCAAATTATTTGTTTTGTATTTACACATGGTTGAGATGAATCATAGAATTACCACTGACAGCTTGAACATGTCAAACAGCTTGATACCAGCAATCAGGATTTATACTATTAGCTTTTTTTGTATATTTATTATTATATACTATACTGATTAGCAAGCTGGATTTGTCAAAAGTCAATTTCTAGCAGCATGTCTCTTTAGCAGGTGTTTTCTGTAGATTCCATAGAGTCATGATAATGCAAATCAGTAGTAATTTTAATTGTAATTTCTACATTTGTGCACATTATTACCTTTTGTTTAAGGTGCTTTAAGTTATAGCACAACTTCATTTTGTTGCTGATACCTTGTTTTCAGGTGTTGAGTCTTCTCTAGTGTGCATATCTCGGGAAGAATTCCTAGGTTTCTTGTAAGACTCCAGAAAATTATCAGACCCAAAGGTTTTCACGTCCGACACAGCCTTGATAATTCTGCTCATCCAGACTTTTTTTTCCTCAGAATGCCTGCAGTAAACAGAACTAGATTTCATAATATGTAATTTAATAGCAGATGTAAAATATATTCTTTTATGTGTTTACCAAATATCTCATTTAAGTTGGTGTTTTTAACTGCCAGTGCATATTAAAAGTACTTACCTTATCCATGGCCAGAAGTCTAAATACTATAAATGCTGTTGTTTCAGACCCAGAATGATTTCATGGTGATCTGCAATGTTGCAAAAATCTTAGAGCTTGTAGTGCCGCTAATGGAGCACCCAAGTGAGACCTTTCTTGCCACTATTGAGGAGGACCTCATGAAACTCATCATCAAATATGGCATGACAGTAAGTTTTTAATTGCTACTGTTCTATTGATTCCATTTCACATGAGTTTGGTTTAAAGACAGTCTTGGTTTCATTATGAAGATAACTTTTGAGTCATGAAAATTATGGGTTTACCAGGGTTTCTATGTGGTTTTGCTGTATTTTAATGAGTTTGAGTAGGTCTTCAGAGTAGTGTAGGGAGGGACATTACATTATATCTCTTAGATGGCTAATTTTAGTTCAGCATAGCTTTTTCCTGTATAACTTCACAATAATCTCAATTTAAACTTCTAAGTAGATAATTTGTTCTTTCTTGCTCCTAGGTTGTTCAGCACTGTGTGAGCTGTCTTGGGGCTGTTGTGAACAAGGTCACTCAGAACTATAAATTTGTGTGGGCCTGTTTTAATAGATACTATGGTAAGCAAAATCATAACAAGTAATTGTCACTTTTCAGTTTTGAGTACAATTCTTATCTGAGGGATACACCACAATTAAATGCTGTGATAATTTTTATTTTACTGCAGGTGCACTTTCTAAATTAAAAAATCAACACCAAGAAGACCCCAACAGTACAATACTTACTGCCAATAAACCAGCACTCCTTAGATCACTTTTCACTGTTGGAGCACTGTGTCGGCATTTTGATTTTGATCAGGAAGATTTTAAGGGCAGCAGTAAGGTAAAATAACTTTCATTTATTCTCCATGTCTTAGATATAATGAATGTTCCACTTAATTTTGAAAGTACATTATTCCTAGTGCCCCAAATGTATATATTTTTCCATAATGCATATGGTATAACTTTCTGGTTTTTAAATACATGATTTTGAAAGGACTATGCAGTAAAGTCGTATGTCTCCTTTCCTTTTTTATAGATATCCTTTCTATAAGAGATTAAAAACATCTGTTTCATCTTCAAATAGCTATTAATTGTGTTTTAATTTGCCCAGGTTAACATTAAGGATAAAGTACTTGAACTGCTGATGTATTTTACAAAGCATTCAGATGAAGAAGTACAGACAAAAGCCATTATTGGTCTTGGTAAGAAATATTGATTTTTTATTATTCTGCTCTAGTAGAAATTCATGTATATCAGTAGGAATTCATGTATTTGTGTAGTCACAGTAAAGTTTGCTTAAAATCAAAACTTATAGCTTATTTTGTTTGAGAACTGGCCATAGCAAAGCTGTCAAAGGGTTGCTAGTTGCATGAGTCTGCAGCAGTGTGGGTGCTTTTGACAGTGAATGCTTTTTGATGTGTGACCAAGTTGTAGGGCGCAGCAGATTTCCCAGGTAATGAAGACACTACTTTTTTTACTCCACATGCAAGTATGTTGTAACTCCAAACCTTGTTTTCCAGTCCACAAGGTAAAAAAGGATGGAAAAAACTTGAAACATTTTAGGGGTAGGAGCAGGCATTCTGCAGGAGTCAAGGGAACTGCTGTTTATAGTGGCTGGATGGCCTTTGTGAGATTAGTATGGCATTTCAGTGACTTGCAGTACAAAATGAACTGCCACTGACTTACAGACAGAAATCATACATCCGAGAAAATCTTGTTTGGGCAGGTAGGTCTTGGTGTCTAGAAGAGCTCAATTCATGGTTATTGCTTTGTCTAAAATAAATTGTCTCTGAGGCCTGAGAGCCTTCATTGCATGATTTAACTGTGGACAAGAATTTGCCTCTTTATGTTGCTTTTTAGGTGACTTTTCAGATATCCTACTCTAATACAGGCTAGGGAGGGTTCTGACGATAAGGATCAAGACTGAATCTTCATTTCATATTCTATGAGAAACAATTTCAAGACAGTTGGGCTGGATTAATGGCATTGGAGTTGCCTCTGTTGCATTAGCAATGCTGTGATTCTCCGGACTACTTGCAGTTTTTCTAGGCATTATGTCAATGTAGATGATACTTACCCATAGTCCAGTTCAGTGTAATTGCACTCTACAGAATTTCATGTGGGATAGGGTCTGTATTCCTAACCATAGACATGATTACTCTGCTCATGGATATGGAGTGTGTTATATTTGCCAAAAATGCTTCTAAATTATAGACTAAATGGTCATCTGTTTTGTCAGTAGTCATTCTTCAGATTTTTTTTCTGCCTGTAAAAATATCAATGTTTATTTTAATTAAACCTCACTGGTTTTAGTGATATATTGATTTCGTCCAGGTACTGATTCTGAAGATAGCTGTTGGATGCATGGAGATGTGATAGACAGTGCAAATTTCCACCTCAGGCTGGTCACTGAGCAAAGTTGTTGAATTCATTCAATGTTTGTGAGCAGAAGTACAGTGAAAAGGACTAGCAAGCTAACTCAACACTTATATATGGTGAAAAGGGTCATGTGAAGAATGTACTTTCCTATCAGCCTTTCACTTTAGTAGGGACACTCAGCAGTTTTAGCCTTTGCCTCAGGATGTGCCACTGATGTTGAGGGATTAAGCCTAATCCTAATATTAATTATTATGGTTATGCTTCTCTTCCAGATATATACTTGAAAAACCAGTTGAGGATATAAACTCGTTCATAAATATAGCTAAACTTTTAAGTACCTAACAGTTAATGTTTTAATCAACAAAGTTCAGTGCTTACTCTAAAGATTCTTAACAGAGTGAAAACAAAGGTGTGAATAGAAATGGTGTGACAGTATCTTTGAGATGTGAATTCAGTCCTTAAAAAAACATACAGCAGGTGCCTTTCTTCATCTCCTATGACAGCCTCTTATGCCAAGTAAGATTTCTTCCCCAGTTAAATGGGGATGGAAAAGTAAGATTTTCCCTGAGAATACTGGTGGTTTAGATTTCTTAAAGTGAATGAAAAAAAAGTTTTATGAGCTGTTACAGATATGTCTATGTGCTTTTCATTTTTAAAATTAACCATAAGAAATGGATTGGACTTTGCACAGAGGTGGTCAAGTTATAAACATCAATATGCACTTGTATAGACCACAGTCATACCACATACTTCAAAGACCACCCTAATTTCTTTTTCTTCTCTTTTCCCTTTCTCTCACCTGCTTCTCCGCTTCTTGTTTTGGGACTGAAATGAGATCTAAAACACACTGAGGGCTTGCTTTGGACTTAGCCTTTACCTATGCTGTGCTGTATTTTTGTGTGTATGGAGCCTGTTTTTAAAAATTTTACTAAATCTTCCCTCTGTTACAGCCATTCTTATATATTGCTCTTGCATAATTTTATTTGCTTTCATTTCTTTCCCCTATTTTCCTTTTATGTTCCTATTTTTTCTATGTGCCCATTTAAAATCTGAATTTTTTGTGGTTATAGAAAATGCATTTAATGTCTACTTTTCCTAAACAATCTTAAAAACAAGTAATTAGTTAAATGTAAATTAAATTAGGATCTTACGTTCCTATTACAGTTTTTTTTAAGATACTCCTTAAGAGTTTGTCAGCAGCACTTCTAAAACTACATAAATTATCTAAAATGGTATATACTGCCAGTAATTTAGAAAAGTTTTTATTAAATACAGACTTAAGAACAGCCAGTTGATTGGCAAGGGTAAAACTACAGCTAAGAGCTGTTCTGTAGTGTGTGTCTTCCAAAACATATAGTCTTGGGAGCACTTCAGATGATCTTCAAGTTGAAGACTACAATAGGCATATGAATAATGACAGCAAGAGGTGCAAATTTTACTGTGTTCCCTGGTGACTATTTTTTCTATTATGATGTTAAATAGTCATGGTTTTTATCAATTTTTCCACATTTTCTCTGCATCTGTATGAGTCACATTTTACAGTTGCAGCAAAATGTTTGTCTCTAGATGTATTAGAATGTTTGTATTAGAAAAATAACAGATCATTTTTTGTAACATTCCTTTCTCATTCTTATAACTCCTAGTCCTTGAGATGCAGGCCTCTATGCTGGACCTGGTTCCAGACCTGTATAACTTTCTGTGCAGTTGCCATGGGTCACCACATTTTATCCCTCAAACAGAGTCACGTTAATGGAACTGTCATGGCTATCAGAGCTCCTTGTTAGCAACGGGTGATGTCCACATGGAAGTGTGATACTGTTTGGACTAGAAAAAGCTATGCTGCTGGGAGGAGATAAATTTCATACCTTTCTTCTGAAGAACCTAAAAAGCAGAAGTGCAATTTCTATATTATAGTAATGAGAAATCCTCTTTTCTTCACTCTTAGGATTTGCATTTATACAGCACCCAAGTTTAATGTTCGAACAAGAAGTGAAGACTCTGTACAACAGCATTCTTTCAGATAAGAACTGTTCAGTAAACTTAAAAATCCAGGTGTTAAAAAACCTTCAGACCTACTTGCAGGAAGAAGATACACGTATGCAACAGGCAGACAGAGACTGTAAGTGCTGAGTTCTTCTGTGCTCATGAACCTTGCAAAACCTGACTTTGTTGCATACACTTACTATATATCTGTGCTGAGTCACTTAAAATTGTAAATAGATCAGTAGTATTGTACCCAAAGTATTTACGAGGTATATGCATAGTTGTATTATTTACTTCTAAGATGTACAAATACTGGAAGCAATCCAGAATTCATAATTGCTGTAATGATGGTAATAATATTTTTTATTCTGAGTTTAATTTGCAGATAAAAACAATAAGTACTACATTTTAAAGAAAACTTTTTATTAAGGAATTCAGACTTGAATTAAAATTTTGTCTCTCTATTTTTTGATATATATTTATTACATTAGACTGTTCTTTGTTTCATGAGATCATAAACCTATTCTAAGACAGCTGAAGTATGTATTTATTGTGAAACTCAAAGATCAGCATATATCAAGTGATGGCAAAATAAGCAGTTATACAATGATGAGTATGTTATTGCTTTTGTCCTTTTTACAGGGAAAAAAGTAGCAAAACAGGAAGACCTGAAAGAAATGGGTGATATTTCCTCAGGGATGAGTAGTTCCATCATGCAGCTATATCTCAAACAGGTCCTTGAGGCTTTCTTTCATAACCAGTCCAGTGTACGCCACTTTGCTCTAAATGTCATTGCACTGACATTAAACCAAGGTCTCATCCATCCTGTTCAGGTATGATAGGCTTTTGTGGTGGGACTTTCTTTTATTCATGTTTTTATAGGCTTTCACACTTGCTACATAAATTTCCAGGTTTTCTCTTCTACTTATGTTACAGCAGTTTCTTACTGTAGCCAGAGGCCTTTACAAAAACCATATTTTGAAATCTGTTTTATGTTGTTAGCCCACAAGATTCCAAATGCTTCATTATCTATTTTTTGGATTAAGATGTAAAAGCCCAGGCAGTACGTAAAGAGCACATAGATATGTACATTGGAGCATAATTCTGTTACAACTTTGAGGTATATGCCAAAATGTTTTCTTTGTTTAGTTCTTTATCCTGTGTCAGCTTGCTTCCACCTCAATCCCTATATCATCCAAGCACTATGGAATTCCACAGTCAGTGTCGAGAGTTTCAACCATCATCTCCATCACTTTGCTTACATAATGTTTTGTAACTAATTTTTGATGCTGCAACCATTGCACATGTTCGGTCATAAGTGGTTTTTTGGGGTTTTTTTAAATGCAATTTTCTGTATTTTAAATTCACTTTAGCGTTTGAGAAAAAGGGAAATACTACCTGAAACCTCACGACTTCGTTAGAATGCTGGTATCTTGTAGTATTTTGTTTTATTTACTTGAAGAAAGGGTAGTAAGTTGCATAGACCTTCCTGTTCTAATTTCTGCACTAGAAACAAAGAAAAAAGACTGAGAAAGAGGAGGTACAATGCCTCTGAATAACCATTTCATTTGTTTTTCAAGTGTGTGCCGTACTTAATTGCTATGGGCACAGATCCAGAGCCCTCTATGCGAAATAAAGCTGACCAACAGTTGGTGGAAATAGACAAAAAATATGCTGGGTTCATTCACGTAAGTAATTCTAATTTAACATTTTACAAAATACTGTTACGTTCTCTAGTGGTTTAACACTTGAATATGCTTCAACTCCAGAAAAAGAGTAGAAAGTAAAAAAATAAACAACATTAAGCAGTTGTAAAAATGACTCCCCTGAGAAACAGAAAGGATAATATAATTTGAAGTGTCTCTTCTAGTCCACAATTTCCTTTAATTTATGATTCAGGGTAATATTTTCCACACTAAATAGTATTTAAAAGCCTTTATTTGATAAGAGGTAAGAACAAGTGTTTCATGATGTTTAGCAATGGTTTTCTTGTATCAGTGGACTAGAAAAGAAAACACTATGTAACAGTCAATAGAAGTCCTTAGAATATATATATTGGAGTATGCAAGGCACCAAGGCTTTATAAATTGTAATCTAAGCAGAAGCATAGGAAGCTGTTTACATCTGATGAATCTTGCTGAAAGGAATAACTAAAGGCTGTGTGAGGATGTGGAGTTGTGGCATAGTACCAGTTCTGCTTAAGATCTGAAAGGAAGCTGCAGCGTTCTCCTTATTTTGGAAGATCCCAGTCTAGGTTCTTTGTGTGTACTATGTTGTAGGACTTCTCACATGTCCTTCTTTGTATTCCAGTGCATTTGGAGCATTGCACTGTTGATGGCATCCAAACAGATAATTCATCCATTAAGTGAAGGCTAGCAGTTGAAATTTGCTGTGTTAGGCAGCTAGGATTTAAGACAGTGTATAGACACGTAGACAACTTTGCTGGACAGCAGCAGAGGTAGTATGAGGACAGTTGGCTGTGCAGCTTAACTAGAGAATCAGTTTGTTCTGAAACTAGAGCAAGACCATTGAAGTGAGTAAAATCAAATGGAAATTATTGAATATATGAAAAAAAAAACCAAAAAACAAATACTGATTTTCTGTTTTTAGTCCTATTGTATTCATATAGATTCAGTTATTGGTTTCACTACAGGGGATACCAAGCATATACACATGGTAGAATATTCTGTTCATGTGTGAAAACATTTCAATGTTCTTGAAAATTTTTTAAATTGAAATACCTGGCTATAGTGGGTAAACAGATTAGCTGTATGTTCCTAGCAGAATTTACAGTCAAAGCAGTTCACAAGACATTCTGATCTCTGCCACAGGTTCTGTTTGACAGCTCAAATCTGTTTACCATCTCAAAAGGTAGTATTGCTTCAGTGCATGTTTTTAATTTAAATTTCAGATGAGCATCCCTTTGGAAGGATTCAGTTGTACTGCTTTGGAAGCAGTGTTTTGAATAAAAATAAATATATTTCCCTTTCAGATGAAAGCAGTGGCTGGTATGAAGATGTCTTACCAAGTACAGCAGGCAATTAATACCTGCCCAAAAGATCCTGTGAGAGGTTTTAGACACGATGAATCATCCAGTGCACTGTGTTCACACCTCTACTCCATGATTCGAGGGAACCGTCAACACAGACGAGCCTTTCTAATTTCTTTACTCAACCTCTTTGATGATACTGCAGTAAGCACCACATTTCCTTTACTTATAAAGAAGTTAAAATGCAGCATTAAAAGCTTACGTTCTCCTTTTAAGTTTTCCTTTTATGATCTATTTTATGACATCATTAATAGCTTTGTCCCCAATGTACTTTTTTTTGCTTTCTAATATAAGGTATTTATCTATGTAATAGAATGCATGTTGCATCACTCTGTACCTTTTCATACTCAGTTTGGACTAATCAGAAATAATGTATCTTCAGGTATAACTAAATTTTGCATGTATAGATGTTGTTTAGAGTGGTTTTTGGGGGCTATATAGATTTAAAATTGTGGTCAGTTTTTTTTTTGCTCTAGATTCTTAGGAGCATTGCAGAAGTATATGAATCCAGGATATTTCTACATGTATTTATGTGTAATTTTTTCTTTAACTTCCAGAAAACAGAGGTGAATATGCTTTTGTACATAGCAGACAATCTAGCCTGTTTTCCATACCAAACACAGGAAGAGCCACTGTTTATAATGCATCATATAGACATTACACTATCAGTTTCTGGTAGCAACCTACTACAGTCATTTAAAGAGGTATGTGCATTTATATTTTAGTGTATTTATGGTGGTGGAAACATAAGCTTCTCTATAATGTGGTCAATTTGTCAGTGAATGCAGTACCATTACTATTGTGTGAACCAGTTGCATTACGTGGCATGTAAACAATAGTCAAAAACCAAGCAACACTGTCTGTTCTGACCTTTATCTGGTAGACACTAGTCAAAATATAATTTCCCAATATGGGTGAATAGCGGTTAATTGTGTGCATATGAAAGCACATGAACCCAGAATCATTGTGGAATACTAATTTGTTATGGTTGTTTGTAAAATTTTAATAATAATATCCAGTTGTCAGTTTATTTTGTTATCAAGTAGCTGATGACAGTTGCATTTGTGTTGCCTGAGAGATTTAAAATACATTGCAAGAGAGGAATGGGCAGTATTTCTTAAAGCAGTGGTAAGAACCTGAATCATGATAGAGTCAGTACCTGTTGTTGTGGCAACACACAAGCCTGTAAGTGAGAGGCCTCTGCTTCTTAAACACTTCAGTGTCTTCCTTTCCTGAACAGCTGTTACAGTAGAAGGTGCAAATTGTCAGGAAGCAGTTTCTAAATGTCCAGTTTGACTAATAAACACAAATTTCTGATGCCAGAAAGTTCACTGCCATAAATGTACTGTGCTTTGAACTCTGACCCTACCAAAGTTGATTTTTAATCTGCTAGAAGGAGACAATTCATTCTTCAGGTTGAGAACCAGTGTGTTCAGCACCAAAAGGATGAGATCCTGCTTAGGTCTGTGTCCTGAAAAATCATACTATGTGCAGTAATAATGCATATGTGAAATTAGATCTGTAGATCTACAAGTAATCATAGAACTAATAATAGAATCATAAAATGGCTAGGGTTGGAAGGGACCTTAAAGATCACCTTGTTCCAACGCTCTGTTATGGGCAGGGACACCTTCCACTAGACCAGATTGCTCCATCCAGCCTAGCCTTGAACACTGCCAGACATAGGGCAGCTGATTATTATTAATCATTACTAATTCATTATTAATATGATCACTTTGGTCAGCAGTGTAATTAGTGTCATAAAATTTTAAGAGACAAAGATTTAAAACTGGCTTGGACAGCAAACTATGTATGAAAATCTCCATGAGACACAGAAATTATATTCAGGTGAAAGAAAAACAGAATTTTCTTCCTGATTTATTGTGATTGGCCTTCTGCTGTATTTTGCTGTCACTGCTAATGAACTTCAGCAGTCTTAATGATAACATAGTAGGGGCGTGCGCATTCCTTCTGTATGCACCTTGCAAGAAAATCTGAGCGTTGGATAAATTTTTCAGTACATTAAGACTATCAAGTTATAAATTATTAACATTGTTCAGCAATTTTTTTTTAATTTGAGGTTGTAATGATTTTGGCCAGATTATTTTAGGAACATACATGATATTACTTATCCTAATTTTGGAATGTGTGTTAACTTCTCTGTCTTGCAGTCTATGGTGAAAGACAAAAAAAAGGAAAGAAAGCCTTCATCAGATGAGGAGACCGAGAGTGACAGTCACAGTGGCAGCGGGAGCGAAAGTGAGGAAGAAGCTTCTAAGCCTCGGAGGTTACGGAAACGAGTGGACTCTGATTCAGATTCTGATGAAGAAAATGATATAAATGCAGTGATGAAGTGTTTACCTGAAAATTCAGCTCCTTTAATTGAATTTGCTAATGTCTCCCAAGGCATATTATACTTTTTGTTCTGAAAACAGCATCTAAAGAACCTCTGTGGATTCTCTGATAGGTAAGGTTATTTAGATAATAGGACGCTTGTTATGCAGTGACATTTTTCCATTTGTTTAAGTTGACTGTAACTACCTGTCTAAGCAATACATTTGTGTAACAGAAAAAAAAAATTAATTAAGTTGAACTTTGGCTTAAAAAACCCAATTATTTGATTTCTTGCCAGGCTATCTATTGTATATGGAATGATTCAAAGAGAAATACTTATATTGGAGGTTTTAAAAGCTTTTTGTTCAAATTACTGTGGGCTTTCCTTTAAAGGTCTTCTCTTTTGTTTTCTATAAACAGTAAAATTCAAAAATATTCTCCATCTGAATCTGCAAAAGTTTATGATAAAGCTATAAACAGGAAGACAGGAGTGCATTTCCATCCAAAACAAACTTTGGATTTTCTGCGGAGTGATATGGCTAATTCCAAGATCACAGAAGAAGTGAAGAGGAGTATAGTAAAACAGTACTTAGATGTAAGTAAAGTTACTTTGCAGAAAGTCTGAAATCCTTTAACACAGTATAAAGTTGAAAGTATGTTTCAAAATGTTAAGCTCCTGGTTATGTTATGTGATGTGTGGATCTTCCTTTCAGGATGATTAGCAGGACTGCATTTCAAAGATTTCTAATAAGTTTAATTCAGTGATAATTAACTTCAGCTTAAATTTTATGGAGTATTTTCCAATTTCTGATAACCATGGTGTATACCTCTCCCATATTACTTGTTCATTTTACTCCTGACTCTTTCCATTATGGGAACAGAGACTAGATGTGGTTTATTAACTGTCCCTCATCCTGCACCAATAACAGATAGAGAAAACTTGCCATTTGGAAAACTCAGGAAGAAAGCTTTTGTATATCTACAAAAAAAAAAAAAATCAAAGTTAAGTTTGTAGAACATAACATAATCTGTTCAACTTGTCTGCTGTTTGTTTTACCCTGTTTCTTTATTTTGGTACTTGTTTCTAACATAATGTAACTTGATAAAAATGTCCATGTCTAAAGTTACAAAGGGAACTGATCTTTTTTGTTTTAATAGTTCAAGCTCCTTATGGAAC